AACTGTCGACGAAGAGCGTGAACTTAGATGGGCACATGCCCAAAGGACCCTCCACGGCCTTCAGCCACCTGAAACTGGGTTCACAGAACGAAGCAGCTACGTCGAGCTCAATCGGCTGGCTGAAGAAGCAAAGAGGCGTGCTGAAATCACTCGGTAATCCATTCATTCCGAACATTCCTGCATTACAGATTGCATGATACAGTTCGTTACCTGACAGGCTGACGATTGAAGTTGCTTATGTGCTTTCTGATCTTACATTGTCTTCCAGACTAAGAGAACTCAGGACATTGAAAGGGCATGTTGAATCGGTGGTGAAGCTCAAGGGTCTGGACATTGACACGATTCAACAGTCTTACACTGTTTGAAGCTGGAACAGCAACAAGACCAAGATCATGCTTCTTGCTTAATTTCTTGGATGGTTAAATGCTGTGCTCTGGTACGTGAGCGGTGAGGTGAACCTGAACCACCTATATACATACATACATACATACATATGTATCTGCGTGTATATATATGTCAGAGAGCCCCCAAAGATGTAGCTGCACATCTCCGTAATAGCTCTTCTATGGTTTCCTAGCACAATGTTCAACACCCAAATTGCCCAATAATTTCTCTTGATCCAAGCAAACCCCTACACAATTCGGATTCAAAGAGATGATCCACACCGTTTTATTTAAGAAACGATTGCTCAAGACATGACCCACAGGTTCCATCATGAACACATGAAACCATGCCACAAGCGCTACATACAAGAACAGAGTAGAATGTTGGAAAGTTGTCCAAATCGAACAATTTATCAATACTAAATTTATGCTTAGGAGCTCATGTGTCGGACAATCTTCCTCTCGAGTTCATCCTTCTTGGCTCCGATAATCCTGTCGACTTCTTTACCTCTCTTCACCAGCACAAATGTCGGCATTGCCTGCACCCCGAATTCTCGAGCTACATCCTGGAAGAAACATCCACGTTGACGGATGTTAATTCTTCTCACAAGGAAACACGAACAAGTTAAGAAGCAGAAACAGATGACAACATCATCTATCTCAACCAACCCTCGTGATCTTAATATGTGTTCATCATCAAAATCATTGATTAATAAATCCGCCTCACGCTGTTTTCTATAGATGCCAATGATCAGGAAAGCTGAAAATGTGATTTTATCAGACCCCAATCTGCAATCTGCAAATAAGGAAACGAAGAATCGATCCGATACAGATATACTTACGGGAACTTCATCGACATCGACTTTTGCAAACTCAACATCAGTGAACTTCTCAGCCAAGCCGCTAAACACTGGAGACATCATCTTGCAGGGTCCACACCATGAAGCCGTGAAGTCGATCACCAGCTTCCCTCAGTTCAAACCCATTACAGAAAACACAACCAAAATCTCACATAACGCCGTGTAAACCAAAATACTCATCGAAAACCCTAGTTCCGTTGAAATTGAACACGGATCCAAACCAACACATACCAGTTTCGACGATTCCTTGATCTCGTTGAAATGAAGCTGCCACCGAGTCGAGGAACTGAACTTCGACACTCGACCAGATTCCGATTCACCCTCGGCTGCCGAAGCTGCATCCCCCAGTAAGGACGAGAGGATTCCTCCCATTCTCCCTCGAATTTCTCTCTGCAAACCGACGAAGATGGGAAAGAGAATCGATGCGCTTAAGAACAAAGCCACCCTTCATGCGGAATAAAAATGTACTACTTGCCTGCGAAATTTCTGGGGTACAGGGTTGATTTTTTTTTTCTTTCTTCCAATTGATAGTGGACAAAGTCTAAATATCATAATGTCAAAAATACCCTTTGTTTTTTTTTTCAATAATAAAAACATAGAAATAAAAAATTGAGACAAATTTAATCTCTGTCTCTGTCTCTCTCCATTCCATCGCGGTTACTCCATTTTTTTGTTCCAATAATCTGAAAAAGGTTTTTTTTTTTTTGTGTTCGTTATATTTGAAGGCAAAAAGTCAACGGACAAAATATCATAAAATTCATTGATTTTCGGTTATTATATTGTGCCATATTTTTTTTTATGTTTTAGAGTTTGATATTGATGAATGAGACTAAAATTTCAGTTACGTGATTTTAATTGTTACAGTGAAGAATAAAACTTTGGTCGTAAAACTTGAGTTGTAATAGAATCATGATATTTACAGTAAAACAAGTCAAGGTGACATATGGGAACCTTATTCGAACGGTACGTGGTCAGCTAAAAATTGATTTAGAAACATTGAAGTTAATTTCGTACCAATAATGAAAACCGGTCACAATATATATTTGATGACATGAGAGTAAAATCTTTTATATTTAGCAAAAAAAAAAAAAAGTGAATGTTGAGGTTGGTCATATGTAGAGCTAAACAATGATTATGGATTGAACCAACAAAATAACAATATGTACGTTGAGTCTCATATATGAATATGAATGAGATCTATGGAAGGCCTAAGGATTGATCTCCAATGACTTAATCCGAAACAAAACAAAGAAATAAACACAAACAAACATAGAAGTTAACAGAGTACCCAACCGGGTATAGCTCCATGGTGAGGCGAGAATTGGTTGAGGTGCCAATTGCTAGTCGAGCGCCTGCGCAGGGGAGGGATGGGGTGTTTTATCGGTTGAGAGGGTGTTGCTCTCCGAACTCCTGTCGCCGGTCTCTAAAGGTTATTTTCGAGTCTGAAAGGATGTAGATTGAGCCGAATGCCCAGATAAACCTCTCGGTTATAAAAAAAAAGAAGTTAACAACAGAGTCAAATAAAAACCAATAAGACAAAATACACTCATTTAACGTTAAAGGAATCGTAAGTTGTTTGTGGAGGAATGAAAAACACCACAAAGAATATGTAAGCTCTTTGATACAGTTTAACTAGCTCAAATCTAATGCAAGAATACAAAATAAATGAGTTAGAACAAATTTCTAGAATATAATAAAAGTGGTTGAAAATGTAAATTTATGGTGAATAATCTTGGTTATTCTTAATGAAACATGCAATAAATAAGCAAAGAAAAGAGTATCTTACCCGTTGAATAGATCAAAATACAAAAAAATACAAAGAAATCAGTATGGAAGATGTCTAACGAATAAGGGAAGTGATTTATTGGTTGATCCCTTCTACTCGTTCTTGATGCTGGAAAATCAAGAAATTTCACGTCTTCATGAAGATAGCAATACGAGTTTGGTTTAGTTTTTTGTCCCCTTCATGTACGCGTTGTGCCGTCTTTAGTTTCCACAGCCGCACACGCTGCTGTTATTTAACTAGACATCGTGTCGTTTCTTCAAGTGGCCGTTAATCATGTTGTTTTGAACCGCCGATTCTGTGTTCCTCCGTCCTAACGTGGACAAACACCACCCTTGAGCTTCCCTGGTATTCAACTCGATTGAAACCCAAGATTCCTTTGTGTATGATACTATGAACAGAATCTCTCTCGTACTTCACATTCTTCTCTGGATATACGATTTTTTCGTCTGATGTTGGAGCAAGATGGAGATTTTGTAGCTCCCAGTAGTCTCACATTTCATTTCATTTCGGTTTTTTTTTTTGCGTGAATGCTTGTTTGTTCCCTACGGATGGTTATATTCCCTGGTGATAAACTGGATTTGGATGCTCATGCTCAGATGGATCCATGAGGCCCTTTGTGGAAAGTAAGGAGGCGTTGCGACAGGCCGGTAAAGTGTTTGATGAAATTCCTGACCGAGATGTTTTCGAGTGGGATGTTCTGTAGGACCGATTTGTAAGGCGTGGTCTGGGTTACGAGATCTTATGGGCCTTCGGAGAATTGTTGGTTTGTGGCATGGGCTAATTCTGTGTTACAGTGACATTAAAGGTTTGTGCACAAGCTGGAGCTCTTACTCAAGGAAACCGGATTCATCATTTTAGTGAACTAGGGAAAAGGATTTGAAACTGATGTTGTATTTATAGGAGAAGCATTTGTTGATATATATGTCAAGCATGGTTGCACAGAGATGGTGGTGAAAGTCTTGGAGAATGTCTTTTCATGGAGGCCATGATTGAATGCTTTCTGGTTTACAGACGAATCCTCTGCTTAGAGTGGATGGAGCGGCAAAATGCTATTTAAGTCTGAAAGTTAAATACTTCTTGTGGTCTTAGCCTTCATTAACTTCTAGAGGAAGGCAGATAACCGTTAGATAATATGGAAGCTCGATATGGAATTACTCCTAAGCATGAGCATTACAGCTGCATAGTAGATTTATTGTGCAGAGATATTGTGTAGAGATGGACGGTTTGATGAAGCATTTGATCTTATAGTCCCATGAAATCGCTTGTATCTGTATGGGATGCTTTACGAAATGGTAGTCGCACGCTTATGTTGAACTTTCTGAAATAACTGTCAAGAGTCTTCTTGACGTGGAGAAAGGAAACTCTGATGAAGAGGAAGCAAATCTCGTTCAACTATCTAATAATATCTACTTGAGTGTTCAGAGAAGTGAAGAAGCATCTAAGACACGATGGATGATAGGCCATAAGGGCATCAAAAAGGCACCAGGATGCAGTGTGTTAGAGGTTGATGGGATATAAATGAGTTTGTATCAGAAGATTTCACACCCAAATCTTCAGCAAATCGACACAATGCTTCAGCTCCTATCCGTTGATTCCTTGCAGAAGTTGTAACCATCATTCCGTATGCATGCTACTGCAATGTTTTCAGAGATTTGATGTGCTATGTCTGCTGAACATAACTGTAGAATCCACTCTTGAAGCGACGTATCTATCTGGGGAAACTCTCGAGTTATCTTTTTCCTATGATAGTTCAACACCTGTAAACGGCGAGAGACACTAGAGGATTTTTCCAAAAGTGAATACTTATGAAGACAAAATTCTGACCCCCTAGAAACAAGAATTGGAAACTGAAGGAAGAATCTGAGAAATGCCAGAATTGCTCAAGAGGACCTATAGGAGTGGCATTGCGAAGCTAAATCTGGAAGAGGCAGATTCAGACTCTAAGGTGACTAGAAAGCTGAAGGGAAGTACTGAAGAGAAAAGCTATGGTGAAAATGTTGGATGGCGTTTGAGCGCTTTTTTAGCATCCAGAGTAAAAGGGGACGCATGACAATGAGGATGGAGCCGTTGAAAGGGCCTCATGTGTGCCAGTGAAAAAGAAGAAAATACTTTCATTTTCGAAAAATGACAAAAGGGTGAGATGCAAATGCAATCTATAAATATATAACAACAAAATCTTTTTCTTCCCCTTAGTTCTATTATATATAATTATATCTAATCAATTTCTTTTTCTGCAGTTTATCAATTATCAGAGAGGTTTTGTGTTCGGCCTTTGCTGGGAAATGGGTTAAGGTACTTTATTTTCTGTTGTGACCTTCTTTCCATCCCTCATGCCACACACATCAGAAATGTCAAAGAACTTGTTTAACCTGCAATTCTTGAAAACATTGAGAATCTTGTTTAATATTTCCTGGCTTCATAAGTTTAAGTATCTGAATTAGAAGAAAGGAAATGCAATGATCCATGCCGGGAAGCTTTACGGGAATTAAGGTACATTGTCTTCTGAAAATTTTAGTGTAGGATTGGGGCCATTGGGCTGCATAGGTAAGTCTTTACAAACAGTCTGGTGATTGGTTTTATATTTACACCAACTTAGATACTTAATTAGTGCACTTTGGTCAAAAGATTAAGTTCAATTTACAACATGTCAATTACATGTCTCAATGACAAACCGAAAATTTATGTTCTTCAAGAGCAAACCATTCTTCAAGATGTGGTCGCAGCATCTCCTGTTGAAGCAAAGAAAAAATCACGATCTCTTCCCTTGTCTCAGATTGAGTGCAATCCAAAATACAAAGTTAACTGAGAATCATATTGGTCAAACTAGAATTGAAATTGTTGATAGTTTAAGATATCGGGACTGTGTAAGGTTAATCTTGTTCTTTGTATAAAATCCAATTAGATGAACATAACTATAGCCACTACAAGACCAAGTTTTAGAACCCACCAAAACTAGAACTAGATATGGACTTTGATATATAGTTCTCTATCTTTGTTCTTCATGGTTCAGGAATTGAATCGACAGTTTGAGAACCTAAACTACCTAAACCAACAGATTCAGAACATGATAGTGCATCTTATTTTTTAGTTGTAGTTCTTTATTGTAACTAGATAATTGCACTGGAAGAAGAACCAGGCCAGAACCCAACAGAAATGGAGCTGGTCATGGACCTTAGTGTCTAATTCCTGCCTGATTCTCCATGGTTCAGAGCTTGGACGTTTGTTTCTAGGGTTGTTAAGTGAGACATTAAAGAACCAACCAGAAGAAAACTAACCTTTTGAAGATTTAGGGACCAAGACAACATGCATTGTTGTGTTGTTGGGAGGGAGATGTAACCGTAGGGGATATAGTTTTCCGTTCAAAGGGCTACGAGAACAGACTGAGATGCCACTAAGCCCTGTCTCTTCCTCTAGCTTCTGTTTCAGCTTTTCCACTCCCATACCTTTGAAGTAGAAAAACTCTTCCTTTGTTCCTTCATCTATGTCTTCGTCTTCGTTCCCAACCCTATAATATATCAACCTCCCTTCTGCCTTGGCCGGTGAACAGTCATCAGACTATGATTACAAAAAGCAACGACACATCATAAGTATCCTGTTTTTTACGCAATCCTTTCTGAATTAGCTTAAATCTCTTTGATCGCTGACCGGTTTTTGTACATTGACCGATTCTCGGTGAAATTATAGTAAGTTTCTACATAGCATATAATTTAGCAAAGTTTAGTTATTTGATCATCATGGTGCAGAGTTTAACAAACCTCAGCTTCGGAAAACCTTGGAGATTTGAGAGAGAATCCTTTTGGTGAACCGGGTTCATCATGGTCATGCTCTTCGGCCCTAAGAACCTCGGGTGGTGGTGGTGGAGGTGGCTGAGGCCGAACAGCTGCAACCTGAGGTGGCTCTGGAGCTCTTTTCGTTCTGATCTCCAAAATGTCAACATCCCAGAGAACCCAGTCTTGTGTGGTCGTCCTGTGTGGAATATCATGTGTGACAGAGTTCCTCCATGGCGGCAAACCTCCGTTGGCTCGAAGGTACTGCCCGTACCTGTTCAATTTCCAATTCTTAGACCATTTATGCAAACTGTTCAATGACAGCGCTAGACAAATAGCCGTACCTTGTCTTGAGCCGCACTTGGACGCCTTCCCGGATGGGTTCCCACTCGACGGAAGAGTCCAGCCTCCGCGGTAACGTCTGAAGGACCTTCTTGCCCGTCATTCCAAGGAGCATTGGCATGTTCGACGCTGTAAGGTACTTGCCAAAGCAGCTCTTGAGGCGTATAACGTTCTCCTCCTCTACGATCTCCACCGTCCATCTTGCATTCATCGACCTCCCGTTCCGGTCTTGGCTTACCGACTCTTCGTCTTCCTCTGCCAAAAGGTATTTGTCATGGTGGCTACGCAAACGCACCGTCATAGCCTTCCTGAATATCTCCATGTCTGCTGCTGTCACGTCAGAACAAAAACACTTTTGACAAAGACATCACAGAAGAAGAATCTTTATAGACGATTCATTGCAGACACGGACAAAAAACAACAACAGAAATCAGGTACGAATCGAATCCAAGTTGGTATGGATCTAAATTTTTTACGATCTCTGCATGAAATCTTGAGAAAATTTACATCTGAATTGCGTGCAAATGGTATCGATCCAAGAATTACACAGCGTAAAATTCTTGGAACAAGGTCTAGGAATGGAGACGTGGAGATTGATGAACGGTTTGATGATTACTCGTTCATGAGCTCTTCAAATTGATTTTGTAACCTTTTAAGCTAATTCGGTTTGTGGGAGAGAAAAACTAGGGGGATTCTTTGTTCCTATTTGTGGTAGTAAAACATTAGGAAATTAGCAAGCATTTATACATTGCTTGTGTGTGTGTATATATATATATTACGCATTTGTGATACAATCTTAACTATAAGAGTTGGTTTCGCGCGTAAATTGTTGAACCGTTTTTGTTGTTGAAATTAACCAATCATCTCTTCTTTCTATAACATATATAAATTATGATCACATTTCTCATATAAATTAACTTGTTTTTTCATATTTGATTCAAGCAGACAACCAATTTGCTCTGTTCTTGGTTTAAACTAAGGATAAAAACAGATACTTTGCATAAAGATTCCTTTGGATCAGATTGCTAGGGAATCTTTGTCAAAGTCAACAAATTTTGTGTCGCCAATTATTAATTCGGTATTATTCTATTCCGACCGAATTTGTCTCCACTGATTTTATTAGCAGTGTGCGAGAGTTGTCTGATGGTTCAACTGATGACCATTTTTTAAAATGATATTGGTTATTTTCTGTAGCTAAGGCTGTCTAAATGAATTTCTTGGTAAGTTTCTGGGAAATCGTCAACCGGGTAGTCGTCATTTCTCTAGGATCTGAAGAACCCTATTCCTAAATTTCCTGAAGTCAATCCCTTTTCTGGGTTTGTTTCTGATTCTGAGAATTGGGTATTTCGTATAGTTGCTGGGTCTGCAAATTGGTATCTCCGTTAGCAGAAGAATGGGATCTTGTTATCCCGTAACATTGATTCTCTTCTGCCTTCTGCTGTTTCTTGCTGATGAATCCTCTTCCCATCCATTGTGTAGTGATTTGTGTGCGTCTTTCTTTTACATTCTTCATTTCCAAATTTAGTTTCTGAGATTTGACGTCCTTGTGTTTTGATTGTTGAAAATTGTTTGGTCAGCTGCACCATTCACCGCGAAGAAGCCTCTCGCTTTCTGTCAATACAAGGGAAGTGTTTGCTGTAATTCCCAAGAGGACTTGAACTTGCAGAGACAGTTTAAAGCAGCCAATGTCTCTGGTAGTTGTTCTCTGCTTCTCAAATCCTTGCTTTGCTCGGTAAGGCTTTTTCAATAACTCATAGCTTCTAATCTGCGTTCCTTTTTGTTAGTTGAGTTGACTACTTCGTTGCACCAGCCATGACTCGGTCTTCTCACTGCCTGATGTTTCCCTACTTGTCAATTGATGGTTCTTGCAGAAATGTGATCCTTTTGCGGCAGAGCTTTATCGGATTGAATCAGGACCTAGACAAGTTCCTGTGCTCTGTAATTCCACGGTTTCTTCTAAATCGACACAATCTCTGGCCAATATTGATTTTTGTTCCAAATTCTGGGATGAATGCAGAAATCTATCTCTGTCGAACACTCCTTTTGCTTTCCAAGCCAATTCTACTTCCACGATTTCTGATACATGGAACTCTAGTGATGCATTCTGTAAAGCATTTGGTGGAGCTTCAGATGAATCAGCGGTATGTTTCGAAGGGGAGGCAGTTTCGTTTAACATTTCAAGAGTTACGGGTTCGTCTCCTTCAGGGATATGCCTGGAGAAACTTGGAAACGGGTCTTATCTTAACATGGTGCCTCACCCCGATGGTTCCAACCGTGTTTTCTTGTCTGACCAACCCGGAAAGATTTACTTGGCTACCATTCCAGCTGAAGGATCTGGAGAACTCTTGGCAATAGATGAAGCTAACCCTTTTCTTGATCTAACTGGAGAAGTGCACTTTGATGCGGAACTTGGTCTGTTAGGTATAGCGTTTCACCCCAATTACTCGAACAATGGCAGATTCTTTGTTTCTTTCAACTGCGACAAAGTTATGTGGCCAAGATGCTCTGGAAAATGCTCTTGCAACTCTGATATGGGCTGTGACCCTTCAAAGCTACCTTCTGATAACGGCGCAAACCCTTGTCAATACCACAGTGTCATATCTGAATTCGTTGCCAATGGTAGTAAACGTGTATCTTCCTCTTTAAAAGTTATTTTTACAGTGTGACACTGTGATGTTCTTGACATATTTAAATGGTTGTTAATCTCAGGGAAGAATGTTAAACCGGTGGAGGTAAGAAGAATATTTACCATGGGTCTTCCCTTTACCTCGCATCATGGTGGACAGATCTTGTTTGGACCGAAAGATGGGTACTTGTACTTCATGATGGGTGATGGAGGAAACAGAGGAGATCCTTACAACTTTTCTCAGAACAAGAAATCACTACTTGGGAAGATCATGAGACTCGATGTAGATACCTTTCCAGGTTAGAACTGTTACGGCCCAAACACAATCACAACACAAATGTCAATCTTGAACTGGAAAAAAAGACTAAAGATTTAGGTTGTCTTGTATCTCATCCTTGTAGATGCAAAAACGATCAGTGAGTTTCAGCTGTGGGGAAACTACTCCATACCAAAAGACAATCCTTTTTCTGAGGATAAGGAACTGCTGCCTGAAATCTGGGCTATGGGACTCAGAAATCCATGGCGATGCAGTTTTGATTCGGAGAGACCGTCTTATTTCTTATGTGCAGACGTCGGTGAGGTACAGTGAAAGCTAAAAACTTTATCTCAAATTGTCTCCTCAGATTCTTGACTTTGTAAAACTCGCATATTTTAGTTTTTTTGACTTCTTATATATCGAGTTTGCAGGACAAGTATGAAGAAGTGAATATTATCAGCAAGGGAGGAAATTACGGTTGGCATTACTACGAGGGACCCTTTCCGTTTAATCCCCCCAAACTCTTCTGAGATTGGCAACTCGTCCTCTTCTCAGATCTCAAATCCGATATTCCCGGTAATGTGGTATAATCATTTGGATGTAAACCGAGAAGAGGGATCTGCATCAATAACAGGTGGCTACTTCTACCGCTCCACAAGTGATCCATGCTTGTACGGAAGGTACGGTTGCTCGTCCATCTCCAAGTATCATTAAGAGCCTAGACCGATCCAGACATGTCTTGTAGAAGGAACATGACAATATGGGTTTGGGCATAAACCACTGTTCTGTTCTTTAGGTACCTTTTCGCGGACTTATTCGCAAGCGTTATCTGGAGCGGATCAGAAACTCCAACTGGCAGTGGAAACTTCACAAGCTCTCGTATTCCATTTCATTGTGCCGCTGATTCGCCTATCCGCTGTTCCACCGGACCTGAACCCTCTTCTGCGTCACCTGCATTAGGGTTTGTCTTCTCTTTCGGGCAAGACAACAACAAAGACATGTACGTGTTGGCAAGCACTGGTCTGTACAGAATCGTCCGCCCCAGCCGCTGTAACTTCCAATGCCCTCTTGAAAATGTTACAGCCTCTCCTCCTCGGCCACGGCCTGATCTCACTGCACCGTCTTCTTCTTCGCCGGGCTTCCACCGGCTGAACATTGTTCCTGTGTTTGTCTTGTTCTCTTGGTCTTTCCTGGTTTTGCTGCTTTGAAGCAACGATATTTTCAGGTTTCATGATTGTGAGATGAAAAATTCACACAGCACACAAAGTAGAAGATGACCATCATACATCAAGACAAGAAAGGATTATGACTTTATGATCAAAGTTTGAGTTAAAACTCTCTAAAGCCTTAATGATGTTTACAGTCTTTGCAGGTTTAGGTGTATTAAAAGCGTAAACGGGCACTCGCATTTAAGAACATCTTATCCACGAAATCTGGCAACTGAACTGTGTTAATTGTCGGAATAAATGAGCAAAGACTCATTTTTTGTTCACATATTTCAAACGTAAGAGACCTGTTTTTCCACTGGAAATACCCTCCGGAACTAACCCCCGCAGATCTCGTCTGAAATCGCGCATGGTAAAAGTCCTAAAATACGTGCCCTTTTGCCTCTTCTTCTTCTTCTTCTTCCACGCCTCTCTCTCTCTCTCTGTCCACTACCCTAACTTCCTCGTTTCCACTTCTCACTCAGGTTCGTCTTATTCGGTTTCTCTCTCTCTTCTTCTCTTAGCTAGGGTCTGAAGAGTCTTTGAGCTCCATATTCCTTGTTAAAGTTCTCATTTTTTTTGTCTGGGTATGGATCAAATTTGATCCTTTTTGTGATCCATTTGAATCTTTTTCTCGGTCACCGAAATGGGTTCTTTGTAAAATTCCGTATCCTTTGCAAAAGTTCCCAAATTGTCTTCTCAGAATCGGATTTGCTTCTTTTTTTTTTTTTGTTATTTAACTTCTTATATTTTGGTTTCATCAGACCTGGCGAAAAGGGTTTTGGTAAAATTGGATCCTTGCAGACAGTTTTTTGCAGATCCCAGCGGGAGAAAATGGATCAAATCTGAAACATCTACGCACTCGGGTGGAAAGGGTTATCGGTTTTTGAATCAATGAAGCGACTGAGAAGCTATTACGCGAACATGAGGCATCAACAGCAAGCTTCAGAGCGGAAATGGATCTTCTTTCCATTGATGATCGGTTCGATGTTCGCCTTCTTTCTTCTGTTTCTCACAGCCCTAACGTCACCGGAAGGAACCCGTTTCCTTCCTTTCGCCCGACCCGTTTTGTTATCCGGATCCGGGTCCTCCGTCTTCGTCGAGTCCAAGCTCAAGTCCCAGACCATTACCTCCTCCCCTGCTCCGCCGCGTTTTGCTTACGTCATTTCCGGCTCGGCCGGCGACGGCGGCGCTCTCCGGAGGACGCTATTGGCTCTGTATCACCCGAACAACCGGTACGTGGTTCATCTTGACCGTGAATCCTCTCCGGAGGAGAGGGAGGATCTCCATGGCTTCATCAGAAGCTTCTCGTTGTTCCAGAGGTTCCAGAACGTTCATGTGATTGAGAAGGCCAATCTCGTCACATACAGAGGGCCGACGATGGTTGCAAATACGCTGCACGCGGCGGCTATATTACTCAGAGAAGGAGCTGAATGGGACTGGTTCATCAATCTCAGCGCCTCAGATTATCCTCTGGTGACTCAGGATGGTGAGATTCTCTGTTGTTCTTACAAAATTTTGAGACTTTTCTTGATTCTTGGTTATGATTCTGTGTTTTTTTTTTATCAGATTTGTTGCATGTGTTTTCGCATTTGCCGAGGGACTTGAACTTCATTGATCATACGAGTAACATCGGTTGGAAAGCGTGAGTTATCTGAACTGAAAAGAAACAAGTTCTGAACTTTGTGTTCCTCAGTGTTGGGAACTGTGGGGATTTGTGTCTTTGTTTTTTGTTCCAGATCACAGAGAGCGAAGCCAGTGATCATAGATCCCGGACTGTATATGAACAAGAAAGCTGATGTTTTTTGGGTTAAGCAGAGACGAAGCATCCCGACAGCATTCAAACTCTTCACAGGTTCTGCTTTCTTTTTCTAATTCTTGAACAACTTTGATCCTCCATGCTTAGATTGCAAACCAAAGCATTCTCGTACAAAATCTTGCCAAGAGAATAAATGTAGATGATTTTAGAAAGTATATCTAAACCCGAGATGGCTGGAGATGTTCCAAGAATCAGTCAGCCCTTCGTTTCGTATTGGTTTGGTTTTAGGAATTTCAGACTAAACCCGTCATTATTGTTGGCAACAGGATCGGCTTGGATGGCTTTGACACGATCATTTATTGATTATTGCATCTGGGGTTGGGATAACCTTCCTCGTACTGTCCTGATGTATTACTCGAATTTCCTTTCTTCCCCGGAAGGGTATTTCCACACGGTAATCTGCAATGCCGAGGAGTTCAGAAACACCACGGTGAACAGCGATCTGCATTTCATATCATGGGACAACCCACCTAAGCAGCATCCTCACCACCTTACTGTTCTAGACATGGGAAAGATGATCGATAGCAATGCCCCGTTTGGCAGGAAATTCAGAAGAGAGGAACCCGTGCTTGACAAGATCGATGATGAACTCCTGAACCGAGGTCCTGGGATGGTGACTCCTGGCGGTTGGTGCATCGGAAGCCATGAAAACGGGAGCGACCCTTGTGCCTTGATTGGTGACACCTCGGATATCAGACCTGGCCCTGGTGCCAGACGGCTCGAAACTCTGATCAGCTTTCTGTTATCTAGCGAGAATTTTCAACCGAGACAGTGCAAGTAACTGAACCAATTTTGTGCAAGTTTGGGAACAGGTTCCAGAATGAATCTAGCAGTTGCGGTTGTTGTGTTTGAAGATCTTTGTGCTCTTCACGCCTGAGAAACTATGCAGTGGCAGTGAGAAAGCATGTCGTATTACTCAGATAATATGGCATAGGACATTGTAGTTCTGACATTTGTACAGAGTATCTAATGGAATTTTGGAAATTCAAGTGTTTGCCTTGTCCAAATGTGCAAAAGTTTGTCGTTTTACACACGTGTTTGTGCCTATTCTTGGAATGTACCAAGATTCAGGCTCTTACTGTCTTTACCCTTCTCTGTTTTTTGAAGCTGTATCTTTTGGTTTGTGGCTCACAAAGCAGGTAATCTCTCTTCTACATTGTTTTTCCATTGATTGAAGGCAGTAATGTCACTTGATCTCGTCTTGTTTTCAGACAGAAAGCGAGTGCCTGAACTCTATATGATTCCAGGAATGCTTATTGTAAGATTCAGATGCATGTTGGGTTTTTCATGAACAGTTTCATCTTAGACAAAGTTTGATGACATTGTAAGACATAACTGAACTGTTCATGTTATTTACTTCTACAGGAGTAGATGATACCTCCAATCTAAGACCAAGAATACGAGATATAACTCAAGAACACTCAAAATGATCGAGGTGAAAACAATTTACGAAGTTCTCTGAAATTTTTGAACGTCCTGTGGCGAATTTCTCCTTGTCTTCATCAGTTTGTGTCTTTTGTTTCCTCTTCGCCCTCTCCAGAGCTCGAATCAGGTGGTTCAAGGATCCATCGATGTCTATTTCGTGATCTTTTGGCATCAAGTTCTCTGCAACATCAGCCGGAGCGATCTCTGTCTCCTTCAACAAAGATTCGATCTTTCGAAACAGAGGATGAGAATCAAGATCGAGGTAATTCTTTGCGAGAATCTTGAAGGCTTCGAAAGTACAGTAAGACAACTCTATATGCATGTCCATTCTAAAGAAATCAAAAGCCAAGATGTGAAGGGGTGATGCAGAAAGAATCAGAAGTGGGAGTTGCAGAGAAGAAAGACACGAAGAAGACTTTAGCAGAGGAAGAAAATTCTGTATATTTGATAGAGATACACTTTACATTATATAAAGAGGTTTCTAATAATAAAAAAAGGAAACTGAAGATATAGTATATGTACATAAGGAATATGGAGAAATTAGTGATGATATATTCCAGATTCTGCTCAATCACCCAACGTTCTTGTTTCTTGTATGTGACGAACCCTCTAAATGAAGTCATGTCTCCTTTTTTGTTTCTTGTATCTCCAGATGTCCGACTCGTCTTTCGTCTCCTTGTTCATCAACATTCCCCCTCAAGATTGGTTGGCGATATTCGGAAAGACCAATCTTGGAGAGGATTTTGTTGAGAACGAATGAACTCGTAGCCTTTGTTAGTATGTCCGCAAGTTGGTCTTGACTTCTTGTGTACATTGGTGAGATTATACCTTGTGTGATCTTTTCTCGTATGAAATGACAGTCGACTTCTATGTGTTTCGTCCTCTCATGAAAAACTGAGTTGGAAGCAATATGTAGAGCGGCTTGGTTGTCACAATGTAGAGGAATCGGTTTATGAGAATTGATACCAAGATCCTCTAGCAATTGTTTCAACCAAACGAGCTCGCTTGTAGTGTTTGCCATGGCCCGATACTCTGCTTCAGCGCTTGACCTTGCAACAACGGTTTGCTTTTTACTCCTCCACGTGACAAGGTTGCCGCCAACGAATGTACAATACCCAGTAGTGGATTTTCGGTCGGTTCTGTCTCCTGCCCAATCCGCATCGCAATATCCGATGAGCTCCGTATGTTTGTTGCATTGCATCCATAGTCCTTTATTAGGTGTTCCTTTAAGATACTTGAGTATGCGATCCACCATGTTCCAATGTGTTGTTGTCGGCGCATGCATCCATTGGCTTACCTGGTGCACAGCAAAACTTAAGTCAGGACGTGTAATGGTAAGATATATTAACTTACCTACAACGCGGCGATATTGTTCGGCATTCTCCAATAATTCCCCCTCGCGTCGATCCTTGAAATGTTCTTCAATCGGTGTACGGACCGGTTTGGCACCGAGTTTTCCGGTTTCCTGAAGAAGATCTAAAACATACTTCCTTTGAGACAAGAAAATGTTAGAAGCAATATAAGTAACTTCAATCCCAAGAAAATATTTAAGTTGACCAAGATCTTTAATATCAAAAGTCGTTTTCAAAATTTTTTTCGTAACATCAATTCCGGAATTATCATTGCCAGTGATGATGATGTCATCAACATACACAAGAAGAACAATAATACCCGAGTTGGTGTGACGTATGAAAAGAGAGTGGTCGTTGTTGCTACGAATAAAACCGTGTCCCGAAAGTGCATCGTGAAGCTTTTGGTACCACGCCCGCGGAGACTGTTTAAGGCCGTATATTGCCTTTTTGAGTTTACACACAAGAGGTTGCGTGGTGTACCCCGGCGGTGGTTGCATGAAGATGTCCTCAGCAAGATCGCCCTGAAGAAAGGCATTTTTGACATCCATCTGCCATAAAGACCAAGAAGAATTAGCTGCAATGGAAAGAATTACACGAATAGAAGAGATCTTAGCCACCGGCGCAAAAGTGTCAGTGTAATCTTCCCCGTAAGTCTGTGTGAAGCCTTTGGCGACAAGACGAGCCTTGTGTCTCTCGAGCTCGCCATTGCTTTTGTATTTGATTTTGTAGACCCATTTAGATCCTACGGCGTTCTTATTCGACGGTAATTCGGTGAGTTCCCAAGTGTCGTTTCGTTCCAAAGCCTCAAGCTCATCTTTCATGGCTTGTTGCCATTCTGGGATTTCTTTGGCATCTTCATAACGTTGAGGTTCAAATCCCTGCTCAAGAGTGCTCAAGAAAGATTGGTCAGTAGCAGAGAAATAAGCTAACGAAGAGAAATCATCAATCGGATGGGCAACAGTGGCGAGAGTGGCATAACGTGCTGGCGGTTTTCGAAATCTGGTACTTCGACGCAGTTCTGGTTCAACAAGATCGGGAACGGCTTCGATGGTGTCGGAGTTGGAGGGTGCAATCGGAACCGAGGCGGAAGAATCAGACGTTGTTGGATTGGCACCAACTGGAACGTCACAAGCAATCTGTGATGGTGCAGAAGGGACAGAGGACTCTGTCGTTACCGATGGCCCCTGATCAGGAGCCAGTTCCCCCTCAGAGGGGACATCGGACAGCACAGAACCATGAGGCGGAGGGGACGGGATGAGCTATCGATGACCACCTGCAACGTTAGGTTGTAAAGTAGAAAAAAGAACCAAAGAAGAAGAAGACAAAACCTGGAGACGGTCCAAAGGGACAGGTGGTGGACCAAGGATTGATGATGACGTGGAAACATCATGAGAAAGCCCAAGATGTTGATAAGTTGCAAGGAGCTCCGAAGCTGGGTGGTGTTTGTCCGTTCCTTGCGATACAAGATTTTCAGCTTCTTTCCATTCTTTCTTGTCATAGTAAGGTAGATGCTCATCGAACTTGACATCCCTAGACGTATAGAGACGTCCAGTGGCAGGATGATAACATAGGTAACCCTTTTGATCGATCGGATATCCCAAAAAAATGCAACGAATACTTTTCGGGTCGAGCTTGGTCCGGTTAGATGAATCTACATGAACGTAGCAAACGCAACCGAAAACCCGCAAGTGATCAATAGAAGGTTTAGAATGAAAGAGTACCTCAAAGGGAGATTTATCATGGAGCACTTGCGTCGGAAGACGATTTATTAGGTAACATGCCGTTTTAACCGCATCACTCCAATATGTCTTCGGGATATGTTTGTGAAAAAGGAGAGTGCGCGAGACCTCCATGAGATGTCTGTTTTTGCGCTCGGCAACTCCGTTTTGTTGCGGGGTGTTCGGACAAGACCGTTGGTGAATGATGCCATGAGAGTCGAGAAAATGTCGAAAATTATGATTCATATACTCAACACCGTTATCTGTTCGTAGACATTTAATCTTCACACCAAATTGATTAGTGACAAAAGCAACAAATATTTTGAATACATTGAAGACGTCACTTTTGTTCTTCAAAAGATATAACCAAGTAAACTTACTCGTTTCATCAATGAAAGTAACAAAATATTTATAGCGATCACGAGAAAAACATGGTGCAGTCCAAACATCGGAATGAATTAAATCAAATGCATTATCATAAATTGTTTGAGAAATGGGAAAAACAGAACGGCAGTGTTTACCAAGTACACAAGCCTCACAGAGTTCGGAGGAAACAATATTTTTGGTTTGTGGTACAAGTAAATGAAGCACTTTATTGTGTGGGTGACCTAAACGATCATGCCATAAAGAATCAAAAACATGAAACGAAGAAGCGGAAGGAGAGTGCAAATCTTCTATAACGTAGAGACTGCCTCGTTTTATTCCTTGTCCAAAAGAGCTATCCGACTTAGTATCCTGAAACACCACTTCATTAGTTCGGAAAATAACATTGCAATTGGTATCATGAATGAGTTTTGAAATGGATAATAAGTTTGTACTAAAGTCAGGAATATAATATGCATAAAATTCCATGCCAAAGATTCGAAATTTTCCGTGTCCTCGAATGGGAACGAGTTTACCATCGGCAACAGTGACCATGCCATAATATGAATCGAGTGTATGAAACAAATGTTTATCTTTAAGCATATGCATAGTTGCACCCGAATCGATCACAACATGCGGAGAAGATAAAGTAGAAAAGTTACCGGATTCCTTATCCTTTAAAGCGAGAACAAAGTTCTTGAATTCTTCCTGAGTGAAGGAAATAGTTTGGCCGGCAGTCATTGCAGCTCCCTTCGACATCTGATTCTCTTGGAACCGAGAAGGTTTGAGATGCGGATGCAGAACCCAGCAGCGGTCCTTGCTGTGACCAGGTTTCCGGCAATGCTCACAGGTGAAATTGCGCTTTGCTTTGTTTCCCGGCAGCAAGGATACATTCTGCTTGGTGAGGTGAGCCATTTCGTGGGGTCCTGCAAATAGATTCCGACCAGTCTCCTCGCGCTTAATGAGCATACATACCTCAGAGAAGGATGGCAATTTCTGCTGGCGAAGAAAATGATAGATGATATCATTGTACGAGGAGTCCAATGCAAGGAGTAAGCCAAAGACTTTATCCTCCTCAGCTCTGGACAGCGCCACTTTCAGATCTGTTGTCGGCGGCCGAATCTCATCCAACTCGGTCCAGAGGGCTGTATATTCACTCTGCACCTTGTTGAAGGACTGACCTTGCTGCTGCATGTGAGACAATTTCTTTTTAATCTCATAAATTCTGCTGATATTTGATAAATTACCGTATATTTCCTTCAGTGCATCCCACAAGCCTTTCGCAGATTCGATAGCAATGAAGGACTGCAACACAGTGGAGTCCAGAGACACTTGCAGAAGAACCAAAGCCAACTGGTCCTCTTGATGCCATTTGGCTTCCTTCTCGGCAACAATTGCCGGATCTGGTTGAGTGGTTTGAACAGGGGCTTCTCCTTTGATCGCAGCTGTTTGAGTTGAAGCTGTAGTCGAAGCTACACCCTGAGCAGAGATTATGTGACTCCAAAGACCTTTGCTACTCAACGTAGCCTTGGCCGCCTTCGACCAATAAAAGTAATTCTCCCCATTCAAGGTGATCGGAATTGGTTTCTGGGTTTGTTCCATGATAACGGAAACAAAAAAAAGAAGGACAGAAATCGAGAAGATCAGAATTGGACAGCGGAAGATAGATCTTAGAGCTCTGATACCATAAAGAAATCAAAAGCCAAGATGTGAAGGGGTGATGCAGAAAGAATCAGAAGTGGGAGTTGCAGAGAAGAAAGACACGAAGAAGACTTTAGCAGAGGAAGAAAATTCTGTATATTTGATAGAGATACACTTTACATTATATAAAGAGGTTTCTAATAATAAAAAAAGGAAACTGAAGATATAGTATATGTACATAAGGAATATGGAGAAATTAGTGATGATATATTCCAGATTCTGCTCAATCACCCAACGTTCTTGTTTCTTGTATGTGACGAACCCTCTAAATGAAGTCATGTCTCCTTTTTTGTTTCTTGTATCTCCAGATGTCCGACTCGTCTTTCGTCTCCTTGTTCATCAACACATTCTTCCTCTCCTGATCAGAGCAGGGTCGAGTTTCTCCAAATGGTTAGTGGTAAACACAATGATCCTCTCTTGCCCACAAGCCGACCAGACTCCATCAATGAAGTTCAGAAGTCTTCCTCCTTCCCTCGTTCTTCGTCTTTCTTCTTCTTGCTCAACTCTCTCTCCTTTTTCTTGTTTCGTTCTGCCGTGAGATCAAGAGAGCAATCGATATCTTCAATCACAATGATGGATTTGCTCGATGTAGCAGTGAGGAGCTTTCTCAGTTCGGAGTTGTTCTGTATAGCCATGAGTTCGAGATCATAGATGTTGTAGTTGAGAAAGTTAGCCATGGCAGCGATCATGGTGGATTTTCCAGTTCCTGGCGGTCCGTAGAAAAGGTAGCCTCTCTTCCACGCCTTACCGATCTTCTTGTAATAATCCTTCCCCTTTGTGAAGGCAACGAGATCATTGACGATCTCTTCCTTCTTCCCCAGATCCATTGCCAGTGTCTGAAAACTTGCAGGGTGCTTGAAATCAATGTGTCTCCACAACACCCTTCTTGTTCGAAGAAGAATCCCAAGCCCAGCTCGGGTTATTCGTGAAAAGCTTCATCTTCTTGTTCTTGGCCTCGATAGATTTCCCTTCTTCCATCACGTGCGGTATATACTTGCCAGTTACAATAGCCTGTACGCGTATATGAAAAGTGAGTTTGTAACATCTTTCGCCTTCGGAAGTTGTTACAAACTCCCACCAGACATTCACAGTACCCTCAAACTCGTCTCTGACCCTCGTCTCGTCCCGTTTCAGGACCAACCCTTTGCTCTCCTTCAACTGGCTTGCCCTGAGGCGTTTCGCCCTGTCCGTTGCTTTCGCCCCGAGGTAGGTCTTTGCGGAAAAGGCGTGGTTGAAACGGTAGTCCTCGTATTCGGGGACTTTGATCTCGACGTAGGGGGAGAACAAGGTGACGATCTTGTCTGAAAGCCTCTGGACGAAGGAGAGCTGTTGGAATGCGGAGAGGAAGAACTCCTTTATCGCAATCTTGAAGTGTTCGGGGAAGATCTGCTGAATGGTTGCCCAGAAGAAGATCAAACTCGCCATGGTTTCTCCCATGAACATCATCATCATCGATATCGGAAATATACAGCAGATTCCTCCGGTAAATATTTGCTTGTCAGTGTGTATAGAATTGCTCGAGGACGTGTTTCCGTACTGTGTTGATTGTATGTGTTGCAAACGGGTGTATATATATAGAGTGGGGCCAGCGAGTGTTGATGTTTCTTACACACACACAATATATATATATATAATTTATTTTAAGTAGGTCACTTTTCCTTTCGGTCGGATTAGGTTAGTTTATAATTGGGTTTGGTTATTTGGTTTTTAGAAAGACTGTAAAATTCGTTTTTATATTGACTTAGTTTGGTTTGATTTTTATTAATAAAAATATTGATTTTGTTAAAAAAAATCGATTTACGATTATTTTTTATTCGGTTAGACTCTAATTTTTTTATTAAAAAAATTATAATCAATCGATTTTTATATCGGATTCATTAAATTATGGTTATATGGTTATTTGTTTATCAATCAAATTGACAAATAATTTTTTTTCAAAAAAGGGGGAGGAAAAATACAAATATAAAGAGTAATAGTTTTGATCTACATTCAACCTTAGTATTTTTCTCGAATTAAATGGGAAAGAAAATACAAATATAAAGAAAATAGTCATTTTGATTGCAATGAATTTAGGTTACCTTGATTTATTATTGCATGCATCGATTTCATATGGTTTGATAATATTTTGGTTTTAATTATGAAACTATTTGCAATAATAATAAGAGTCGTTGTTAAAGGGGGAGAACTTTCATTCTACCCTTAATGTGCTACAAGGATTTCTAGTGTTACCTCCTCTTCAAAAAAAAAAATTCAACATCCAATCTACCTCTTTTTTGTTAGATTACCAAAATAACCTTGTAATATTATTTTATATTTAATTTTTAATTAAAAAAATCTCTCATACCTTAATTTCTCTCTCTTCTTTTTTCGGTTTCTCTTTCCTCTTTTTTTTTCTCTTCCGA